GTGCCAGTTGTGTTACTTTGCATTTTTTAGGCAAATCTAAATCAGTGGTTCTCAATTGTGGACAATTTTTCCCCCAAAGGACATCTGGCAATGTCTGGAGATAATACTTCCAACAAGGAAGCAGGGGTGGGGCAGGTAATGAAGATACTACTAGTGTCTAGTAGAGCAACGAGTCCCCAGTCTTTTTGGCACCAGGACTGGTTTCATGGAAGACAATTTTTCCATGGCCGGTGGGGGGTGAGGGGGGTGGTTTCAGGATGATTCAAGTGCATTACATTTATTGTGCAGTCAAACCTTTCTGCTAATGATAATCTGTATTTGCAGCTGTTCCCTAGCACTAGCATCACCGCCTCAGCTCCACCTCAGATCATCAGGCATTATTAGATTCTCATAAGGAGCAGGCAACCTAAATCCCTCTCTTGCTCAGTTTATAGTAAGGTTGCCTCCTATGGGAATCTAATGCCCCCGGCTGATCTGACAGGAGGCGGAGCTTATGCAGTGACCCGCAGTGATAGAGAGCAGCTATAAATACAGATGAAGCGTCACAGGTTTGCCAGCTGCTCACCTCCCGCGCTGTGTTGTCCAGTTCCTAACAGGCCAACGTCCTCAGTCCAGTGGTTGGGGACCACACTAGTAGAGGACAGGGATGCTGCTAAACATCCTACAATATATAGGACACATCTCCACAACAAGAATTATCAGACACAAATAGTGCCAAATTATACAATGCCAATAGTGCCCAGGTTGAGAAACTCTCCATGAGAATTTAAGGCCTCAATTTGACTTCCTTCTACTTTTCCAGGCTCATCTCTCCTCTACTATCCTTTTACTCACCCTGATCCCCAAATATAAGTGGCAATTCTGAGCCTCCACACCTTTAACATTTAATATTTCCCACATCAAGACTGCTCTTTATCGAAATCTTCTCCCTCTTTCAGTACATAGGTCCAGTCTTATCTCCTCAATGAAATTGTTCTAGATTCTTCTACATTAGTCTAAAGTAATCCCATGTCCTCTGAAAGACTTGATCTATACAAGTGATC